TGCGTTCCATGTCTGGGGCTGCCTTGCTCACGTTCAGGCCTCTGGCACGGACAAGCTCACTGCCCGCACTGTCCCCAGTGTCTTCCTAGGTTTCCCCCTCGACTCGTCGGACTGGCAGTTCTACCACCCGCCTTCTCACCGGTTCTTTCACTTTCATAACGTCACTTTTGCGAGTCCGTCTCCTTCTACAACTGCCTCCCCCGCTGTCGTCGCCTCCTCCTCTGCCGGTCCACGGCCCAGTGTTTCCTCCCCCAGACTCCTCTCTAGCTCGTTTCCCTCCCCGTTCTCCTCTTGTGTCTCCTCCCCTCTCTCCTGACCCGACTCCTCCGTCTCACGTCTGGTCTCGTCGTCCGTCTCGTGCTCGTCCTAGCTCCCCTGTTCCGCGTTCTCACCCTATGTTGCTTTGCTCTCACGCGTCTTTTGCTCCTCCTCTCCTCCCATCTCCTCTTCCGTCGCCGCTTGCTGTGGCCCCGCCTCCGTTCTTAGACTTCCTCTGAGCTGCGCGTGCCCTTGTTCCTCGTGTCCTTTCCTCTCTCATTACCGACCCGTCCGTTCCTGTCTCGAGTTTGTTGGCTCTTGTCGCTGCTGTCACTGACTTCGCTGCTACCCGCTGCCTGGACTACGCCACCGCTCTGGTCTGTAACCTTGCGTGCCCTCCGACCGTCAGGGGTGTGGCTGCTCTTGGCAGTGATGTCCTAGAGGACAGGCAGTTCGAGCTCGCTTTCCTGTCTGAGGCCGCTCCCCATCTTTGTTCCATGCTACTAGTCCCTGAGGGTGACCCAGATGCCCTCGACATCCCGACCCCTCGCACCTACGCTGAGGCCACCTCGGGACACTGGGCCTCTCAGTTGATAGCTGCCATGGAGCAGGAGATGGCATCTTGGAGATCCACCGGTACCTTCGTCGACACAGTTCCCCCACCTAGGGTGAACGTAGTCGATGGCCGGTGGCTCTTCAAGGTGAAGCGCCCTCCGGGAGAGCCGCCTGTCTTCAAGGTGCACTACGTCGCTCGAGGCTTCAGTCAGCGTTAGAGGGTGGACTTCTTTCAGACCTTCGCCCCGACCCCGAAGATGACTACTCTTCGGGCAGTGCTACACGTAGTAGCACAGCGTGACTACGAGCTGCACTCCCTCGACTTCTCCACTGCTTTCTTCCAGGGCTGTCTACACGAGCAGGTCTACCTGCGCCACCCCCAGGGCTTCTTCGGTACCTTCCCCCCTTGCACCGAGTGGCTCCTTCGGCGCCCTGTCTACGGCTTGCGAAAGGCGCCCCGTGAGTGGCACGACACGCTGCGTGCTACACTTGCTGACTTGCAGTTCTTCCCTTCGTCTGCAGACCCCTCGCTCTTCGTTCGTTCCGCCCAGACTCCGTTCTACATCCTTGTCTACATAGACGATCTGGTCTTTTCTACTGCAGACAGAGACGCACTGGCCGCCGTGAAGGCCGAGCTGCTGAGGAGACACACCTGCACTGACCTAGGAGAGCTGCGCCGTTACCTTGGCTTGCACATCTCCAGGGACAGAGCAGCGCGCACCATCACTCTCTCACAGTCACACTTGGTGCGCCGCGTCCTTTTGAGGTTCAGTATTCAGTTCTCTTCTGCATAGCCCACCCCTCTGTCAGTAGACCACATACTCTCTTCCCCAGTCCCCGAGGAGGCTATAGAGCCTAGTGGTCCCTACGCAAAGTTGGTGGGTTGCCTCATGTACCTGATGACTTGCACTCGTCCAGATCTCGCATACCCTCTCAGCATCCTTGCTCACTTTGTGGCCCCAGGCAGACACCGACCACAGCACTGGCTGGCAGCTAAGAGGGTTTTGCGTTATCTAGCAAGTACATCGGGCATGGGGCTAGTGCTAGGAGGATGGAGACCAGTGGTCCTTACCGGACACATAGACGCTTCTTGGGCAGACGACGCCGAGACTCTCAGGTCCTCACAGGGCTACTCCTTTAGGCTTGGTGCAGGTGCCATCTCGTGGAGGTCCACCCGTTCCTCATCTATTGCCCATTCTAGCTGTGAGGCTGAGATCTACGCAGGTGCCATGGCGGCACAGGACCTCCGCTGGCTGACCTTCTTGCTCACCAACTTGGGTGAGGGGCCTAGCTCTGCCCCGAATCTGTACGCTGACCACAGGGCCATGATGCTCCTGTGTCAGGAGCCACGACTTGAGGGCAGAGCGAAACACATCCAGCTGCGGTACTTCCTCCTTCGCGAGCTGCAGCAGCGTCGCCAGGCTCGTGTAGTACACTTGGCCTCCGATGCCAACATAGCTGATATCTTTACTAAAGCACTTGCGCCTAAAGATCATCAGCGGCACTGTGTACAGCTAGGTCTATTTCCTGTAGCCTCTCACTTGCTAGGACCTTGATTGTGTACAGACCTTTATATATATTACCCTGACTGGCCTTGTGGCCTCTTCCCAGTGGCTGGAGTAGTAGAGCCACCCTGGTCTTGCTCTTACCTTGTCTGTAGTTGTTTGATTGGTCTTTAGACCCCTGCCTCAGAGGCTGGACTAGTATTGCCACTCTGAGTTGTTTCTCTCTCATCAGGCACTGCCCCTATCCAGTCTAGATGGTGTGTTAAACATATATTGTATGTTTCTGTAGACTATATAGGGTTGTGCCTTAGGGAGTACAACCCATTCGGATATATTCCCTTGTATGCCTTGTTCTTCACATACTTTCATTTGAACAGCACTAGCCTCCGTGAAGGCTGACCTGTTGAGGAGACACACCTGCACTGACCTAGGAGAGCAGCACCGCTACCTTGGCCTGCAGTTCTCAAGGGATAGAACAGCATGCACCATCACTCTCATACGGTCACACTTGGTGCGCCAGGTCCTTCAGAGGTTTGGTCTTCAGTTCTCCTCTGCACACCCCACACCTCTGCCAGTAGACCACAGACTCTCTGTTCCAGTTCCTGAGGAGTGAGTAGAGCCTAGTGGTCCTTACGTAGAGCTGGTCGGTTGCCTTATGTACCTGATAACTTGATCTAATCCAGATCTCGCATACCCTCTCAGCATCATGGCTCGCTTTGTGGGGTCAGGCAGACACCGGGCACGGCACTGGTCGGCCGCTGAAAGGGTTTTGCGTTATCTAGCAAGTACATCAGGCATGGGACTCGTGCTGGGAGGACACAGGCCAGTGGTCCTTACTGGGCACACAGACGCTTCGTGGGCAGACGACGCTGAGACACTAAGGTCCTCCCAGGGCTACTGCTTTAGCCTTCGTTCAAGTGCCATCTCGTGGAGGTCCACACGCTCGTTGTCTATTGCCAAGTCTAGCCGTAAGGCTGAGATCTATGCCGGTGCGATGGCAGCACAAGAGCTTCACTGGCTGACCTTCTTGTTCACTAACTTGGGTGAGCAGCCCAGCTCAGCCCTGGTTCTGTACACTGACAAGAGCGCCATGATCCTCCTGTGTCAGGAGCCTCGACTCGAGGGCAGAGCGAAGCACATCCAGCTGCGGTACTTACTCCTGCGCGAGCTACAGCAGCGTCGCCAGGCCCGCGTAGTACACTTGGCCTCAGGTGTTCAATTATATATATTAGTATATAATTGTAGGCTTGGAAGACGTTACTGAACATTACTGTAGAGGGTACAACACCCCTCTTTGTACCTCTCTCTCTTTCGTATCCAGCTCTCTTTTTTCTTTCGTCAAATCTCTCTCTCCTAGTTCTCCTAGCTCCTAAAACCTCACGCCACTTTCATGGCATCCTAGTTCTTTGTTTAACCTGGTATCAGAGCAGGACGCCCTTCCCGGGCCTGCTCTCCACGCTTTCGCCGCGTACCCGTCCTTGGCCGCCGTCGCGGCCTTCCGTTTGCCTGCCGCCGTGGCACATTTTCGGAGATGCCGCGGCGGCCTCTGTGTGCTGTCGTCTCAGCGTCGACGAGCAGCCGCGGCTCCGACGCCACGCGGTGGTGGCGTCGTAGTGGTGCCATGGCGGTGTCGTCGGTCTGATGCCGTCGCGCACCTCCTGCATCCCTGCTGGACTTGCAGCCCGCCCGTATGCCAGTAAGCGCCGTGCGAGCAATGGCGCCGCGCTGAAGATCCGAAGCCCCGCCCCTTCCCCCTTCCCTCTGTCTCCTCCTCTTCGCCACAACCGCCGCCTGACTCTCGCCGGTCGTCCCCCTGTCGCGGAGTTTGGACACGCCGCCGAAAAGGCGGGGGTCGCTGCCGTTACCGAAGTCGTAAGCCGAAGCCGTCGCTGTCACCGCTGTCGTCGTCGCAGGCCTGTTGCCGCCGCACGCCGCCATCGCCGTCGCTGTCGCCGCTGCCGGGACTGCCGCCGTCGCCATCTCCAAGGCCTTGGGGTTGGCCCTGTTGGAGTAGTCGTGGCTCCTGGGAATCGGGGTGCTAGGTTAGGGGGTGTGGGGGTGTGTGGGTCCTTTTGCTACCAAGCCTAGGGGGTGTGTTAAATTATATATGTTATAATATAATTGTAGGCTTGGTAAACGTTACTGATCAATTACTGTAGAGGGTACAACACCCCTTCTTGTAGCTCTCTCTCTTTCTAATACAGCTCTCCTTTCTCTCGTCAAATCTCTCTCTCCTAAAGCTCCTAGCTCCTAAAACCTCACGCCACTTTCATGGTGTCCTAGTTCCTAGTTGATATCTTTACTAAGGCGCTTGCGCCTACAGATCATCAGCTGTTTGCAGCTTGGTCTAGTTCCTGTAGCTTCTCACTTGCTAGGACCATGATTGTGTACTCCACTTATATATATTCCTTTTTGACTGTCCTTGTGGCTGCTGTTCCAGTGGTCGGACTAGTAGTGCCGCCCTGAGTTGCTTGTCTCTTGTCAGGCACTGCCCCTTGTCCAGTCTAGGAAGTGTGTAGATCATATTTGTATATGTTGCTGTAGACTAAATAGGGTCATGCCTTAGCGAGTACAACATTTTAGGTCAAAACCCTCATGTACTCTGATTTCTAGTCATTCAGCTACTGTGTGAGAAGCATTACTTGCTGACAGCAAGGAGGCAAATAATCAATACCACAGGTGACTGAATTGAGCATATTATCACCATAGAAGGTACACACAGGGGAAGGAAAGACCACCTAATCCACAAAACAACAGATGAGAGTACCGTACAATAGAGGCAGGTCCAATGGCGGCTACAGCACATATCCGCGCCCCGGCCAGAGTAAGAGGAGAACGACAAGTGCTAACGAGTCGTTCGCACTTCATGGAGGTTGTGCCTGAAGACAGTACAGGCCCGACAATTGTACTGAAGTCGTACAAAGATCGTACAAGAATCGTACAACCGCTGGTGACCTGCGGGTAGCCCTTCTGGGCATTTATTGGTCAGAGGAGTACGTATAAGCTCGCGAGTTCTTGGCGCGATGCGGACTGACATCAGGCCGCACAGCAGCGGCGGCAGCAGCAGCGGCAGTGGCCCGTGGAGGATTACGGAGAGAAACGAAGAGCCGATCGGCGCCACACGGGGCACTTTGTCGCTCAAGAGGGCGCGCCAGTTATTAACGTGACTAATCATCTGGAGGCGGCGAAACACCGCGTCCTTATTGCAATCCCGGGTCGGCTGAGCAAGCAGCCTCGACGCGCGTCCGACGAAATTCCCACAGCAGAGAGACGTACAATACAACACCACGAGGGGAGCAGAAACGCTCGAGGGGAGGCCTCCGCGCACGGAGGCACAAGCGGCGGCGAACCGTGAGTTCTACTCCTGGGAGAAATAAGAGGTCTGCACGGTCATCAGGTGCATCTCGAACTCTTCTTCTGAAGGCAGTGGCTCGAACGAGTCGGCGGAATCGGCGAAGGCGGAAGCCATGGGGGAAGACGGAGAGTCGCACTCCGACGCGGGCCACGACGCGCTGAACTCGTGCACGGCGCGGGGCGAGTTCCGCAACGGTGAGCTTCCGCCGTCGATGGAATTCCCGCGTTTGTGCGCGGAGACGGGCGCGAGGTTGTGCGCCGGTAGGCGGAAGTCGGAACTGGCGGAGGCGGCGGTCGCGGAGTTGGCGTTAGCGAGAAGAGCGTTGAGCGCTTGCAATTGCTGCTGCTGCTGGTGCACGCGGAGCGCGGCAGCATCGAGGGTTGCGTGGGCGGCCACCTTGCTGTTGAGGTTAGCAAGCGCGATAGCTTGCATGTACTGCTGGATGTTCTGCTGCCTCTGCTGCTGCAGGAGAAGAAGAAGCATCTGGCGCTGCTGCTGCTCCCAGAGAGCCGAACCCGACCCTGAACATGAACCCGAACCTGCTTGCACGTTTCCTGATCCAAGAACGCCTGCGGCAGCGGCGACTAATTGCGAGCGGCGGATTTGCTCGAGAAGTAGCGCGTTAGCAGCGACTGTGGTATTCGGGCTGGCCGCGGTTTGCAGTGCTTGCTGCTGCTGCTGCTGCTGCTGCTGCTGGGCCAGAAGCAGCCTTTGAAGAATGGCGGCGTTGGAGTTGGCAGCGGCGGAGGCAGTGGCGAAGTCTTCCATGGATGCTGGAGGAGATTGAAGGAGCGAAAAACAGCTGTTGAGTAAGAAACCCTAGTCGATGGATGAGCACTAACGAACGTGGAGGTGAGGCTCAAATATGAAGGGGAACGGTTGGCGGGGTTTGCTGGAGGAATTGGGACGAAAGGCTTGTTCGCTTGCAACCGGATTTGACGGAGCTGAATTGGTTTGGATAATTTTGGATGGTTTGGATCTTGAGAGCCGTCGCTATTTAGAGAGGAGGATCCGCCTTGGGGCCGGTCCGTTTCGCCGTGCGGGTCATGCAAATGCCGAAAACGAGTCGCACACGCGAAGGAAGCTCCCCACCCGTGCGGTGCACTACCCCAGCTGGCGACGTGATGCGACGCGAGAACGCGTGACTGTACCAGTTGTCGCCAACCTGGTGTGGCTTGGGGATGGGGGCGTGACGGACCAAGCTGATTGGCCGTCCGACGTAGAGGTTTCTTCTGGTTGCAGCAGCGAAAGCCACCGAATCGCCTCGCCGGTGAGGAAGCTCCCTCTTGGTTGTTCTACAGAGGGCAGGCTCCCCTAGCAAAACGACAAGGCTACAAACCGGAAACCTGCCTGACCACAAGCAGAAAGGCCCATGTGGCGAACCGCATGGGCTCGGCAGGCATTGTAGGTTTGAGCCGCATGCCCCTAAAATATTTTCGTGTAATCTGACCGCTAACTTCAAAAACTGGTGGACACCGCTAGAAATGTTGACATTTTCTCCTGGGGATCTACCAGGAGAATTTAAACTAGGCTGCAACATTCGTAGAAGGTTTCAGTTTTAGTTCCGTCACCTGAAACATTTCCCAACCAGCCATACTCCACAAGCAGCTTGCGCTTCCTCCGTATGGTTACAACTGGTTCCATGTGGAAGAGCGCCACTCACCGCTGGCTACTTCGCTGGCAGTGAACCAGCGGTAAGTCGATGACGCAGCAGAGAAGCCCCGTGCAACAGGGCTGCCAGCTCAGTTGCCTGCTACGTCACAGGCCCACTTCGCCGCCTTCGCCCCGACCGTGCTGTGGTGTCACGGATAGGCCGAGTGCGGTTGGGCGAGCACTCTGCGCACACCCCGCTAAACAATTGTTGACAGCATTTGGTGATTGGGGGAATGTTTTTACACAAAAGGGCCACTACTCATTAACGAGGGGGGTTTTCTTCATGCAACCTCAGCAATTTTGCTACCAGACTGAGAGGATGTAATAAGTTCGTGTATGAAATTATCGTATATGGACGGGGAAATCATGATATTCAGAAAGCATTGTTTATACAATTCCTCGGCGAGTGTTAGACCCGAGGGTTTAGCGGGAAGTTCCGAAGCTGGAAAAAAATGCCTCGGGTCTTGCGAAAAAACTGACGGCTCCAGCCAGTCAGCTGTCAAACCGAACAGCTAACAAAGTCGCGCAAATGAACTTCCACCAATCATAACTTCGTAAATTTCTCGTGGACTCGAAAAGTTTGGCCAGTATGGTCACGACCCTCCCCTTGCGACAGTTCGCGACTATGCAGCCGCTGCACCGTCAAGAAAATTAAACCCGCAGTTAGGTTGTGACAATCCGCGGCTCCTTCGGCCGCGGGTCGACCTCGGGTCTGACACTCGCTGCAGAATTATCCAGAGCTGCGACCCAGACGATGTGAAACATTTGGGGCAATTCCGCTGGGTTAGTTGAACCTGTCATGGATAATCGGCTGTGCCAGCGCAGTCCCTGAACATGTGCATCCACTTTTCCATGAGTTCAACACCTGACACGGGTATGAACCTGGTTTGAGTGGATGGAGTGCCCAGTGGTTGCGTGCACGAGAGATTGCTTTTCACTCGCCAGGGCCCAAACCTCCGAACCTGAAAGCTTCAAACCAGTTGGTTCCACGGCTGCCAGTGAAACAAGCCCACTGTCCATTCCCCATGTGGAAACATGTGGGGTATTCGGCAAAACCGTGACGTGGTGTACATGATCAGAACTTTGGCTTCTCCAACTCCCTGTCCTCCCGTGCTTCCCCCATGTACTGCACCAGGAGAAGTCCCCCAGAAGGAAAATGCACACAACTGAAAGCCATTTTGGGAGTCTGATGTCCGCAATAGAGAATCCCTAGTCCCGCTATCAATTTTGAACGATTGTAACGATAAGTTGCGCTAAGCATGTTGCGTATTGCACAAAATAAGGGACATGTGCACTGCATAGATCGTCTTAGCAAAGCTCACGAGACAACTTATCCACAACTAGTTCTCAGGGCTTCGGCATCAGTGTTGTAAATAAATCCATCTTTGAGTGCATCTAGTCACTAGAACATGGTTGTTTCAAATTACTGAATAGGGGGAAACTAGAGGCGGTCAACCTGCATTCCTGACATCCACACCACATTGATAACTGAGCAGGCACGATAGAGCGTAACACCAATACCGGTATCCTAAAACTGAAAGAAGCTACCATCTGAACGGGAATCGCAATGATACTCAGGCAGACGAGGCAACCCTAATGCGAACCGTGAGGAAAGAAATAAACAGCACATCTGACCGTTCACACCTCGCACTAGTCTGGCGCAAAACGCCAAAATTCACCCGCTAAATTCAAGAGTGAGCCCGACACTGAAAGCGCAAACAACAGCAATACTATTATTCTTCGCCTTAGTATCTACACCCTCGAGGCCCATATCCCCTTCCCTACCACCCGTAGCCACCAGATCCACCAGCACCGCCATACCCACCGCCGCCACCGCCACCTCCTCCTCCACCGCCGTACCCACCGCCGCCAGGAGCCCCTGGACGGCCCCCATAACCGCCTCCGCCTCCGTACCCACCGCCGCCGCCACCACCATCGCCTCCACTGGGGCACTCGCGGGCGAAATGACCCTGCTCGCCGCACTTGAAGCAGCCGCCGCCGCCGCCGCCGCCTCGGGACTGGTACCCGCCTCCGCCACCGCCCCATCCGCCACCGGCACCACCACCACCACCGGACCACCCGCCGCCACCACCGCCATAGCGGCCGCCGCCTCCCCCGCCGCCGGATCCTCTGGGTTGTGCCATGTTGACGGTGATGGTGCGACCGTCGAGACTTTGACCGTCCATTGCCTTGATCGCCTCATCCATGCCGTTCTTGTCGCCGAACGACACGAAGCCGAAGCCCCTCGATCGCCCGGTTTCCCTGTCGTTAACGACCTGCGAGAGATGACGATCGAGGATGCACGGATGCTATTAGGCCGAGCTAGAAGTTATGAATGGATATCGGATGGATAGACGTTAGAACGCTAAAGGGTTACGGATTTTCAATTAAATTTCAGGGTTTAGCGTCGAGTAAACAGGTACTTGTGACTTGTGAGCGGCATTCACTGAGTGGCATGGTCTGTTCCCAAAATACACATCTCACCGTCCGATGAGAACACGAGATCCGATAACACGTGGCAAGAGACTTCAGCTAGAAGAGCGTCGCACAAAGATAGGGAGGCAGCGCACCTTGGCGTCGACAGAGCCGTATTGACTGAAGGCCTCCATGAGCGCCCTGTCGTCCGTGTTGTACGACAGACCCCCCACGAAGCAACGCAATTCTTCTCCCATGGTTTACAGAAGCGACGAGACGAAGACACGCGCAGAGAAAGGATCAGCAGACAGGGTATATCCGCGGGGATGAAGGGGCCGCGGGCGAAAAGAGTAATTCCCTCGCACGAGAATTAAAGCTGGTAGATCTGGCTGCTAAGACATTTGTATGCAAACCTCGAGGCATCGAAGGGCGTGGGGGGGGGATGAAGGAGAATGGAATGGAAGGGTTTGGGTTGGGGGAGCGCGAGGCGGGGGCGGATGAGAATTGAACGGCTGTGCGCGAAATTTGGGGTGAAATGCGAGGCGCGGAGCGGAAACCTGACTCTCTCTGCATTCAGGGTGCGGGGCGCGGAGCAGAAATGAAAGGGAGGAAAATCGGAAATATCTTCCGCATGGTCGACGGACGTGGCACAACCATGTTGGGTGATGCTTCTTTGGAACAAGAAAAGAAGAATAGGGTGATATTCATGTATGTTTTGATCGAGTGAATGTCTGCATTCCAGATAAACTGTGCTAATAAACGGAGAGGCTCAGCCACGGTGGCGAACAGATTTTCCGGTGGGCAGAAACCCGCCCGTTACCCTTGCCCGCGATGGTAGAAAGTGTTAGGCAAGATTGTCCAACACCAGTTTGGGGCCGCCGTCGTGGAAGCGGAACTCCGGGCTGAGTTGACCGAACCTCGTTGTGGTTGCACAAATACTGCTGAGCAGAACAGACAAGAGATACTTTTCTGCAGCCCGAGACAGATGAAGAGGAAAACATTCCGGTCCTGGCCTCCTATGAAGCGATTCGTTTGCAGGCCCTGGACAAAGTTGTACACGAACACTCATTGATATTTTCGAATATCTCTTCCTTGTGGTCCAAAGACACGTCAGCATTCGAGCCACTAAGCCATGCACTCAAGCAATGTGACGCGCCCCCTGCGCATTCATTTCCCCATGCCGGCATGCATCCACCAGCCACCGCAAGCAGAACCTCCCCCCAATTCCCTCCTCGCCTTCTGAGCCGAAGGCAACATAGATAGCTGCCACCACCCCGCTACGGAGCGGCTCAGCGGCGACCCAAGGTTGCTTCCGCACGAGCCTAAAATGCTTAGCATGGCATCCACAGCTCTCCCCACTGCCGCTTGACGTGTTTCATCAGCGCGCTCCGGAGCGCCAAGCACGCGGGCCGCAGCACGTGAAACACACCAGCCGTATCCTTCCTCGTTGCCTCTGCATGCCAGGCAGGTGCGCCGCAGCTCTTCGCAGGTCTGTGGGTGCCACGTGTCGACCAGCAGCAGTATCGCCAGCTGGACGACGGCTCGAATGGCCTCGGATAATGCCACTGCTGGAGGGGGAAAGTTGGAGGAGGGGGGGAAGTTCTCCCTGCCAGCTGCGCCCAATGGTGACTCGAATGTCCTTTCCCTCTCGTCGCGCGCCGCGTGCTGCTGTGCGAGGCGCGCAAATCCCGCCTCCTCGAAATGCCGCCTCGCACCCCTGCTCGCGCCCTGGCGCCCGCCCCTGACCGTCGCGCTCCCCTATCTCTGGCGAATCCCCCCACCGAGTCGCATATTCGTTGCGGCACCACAATTTCTGTCCCAGTTACCTCCTCCTCTTCCTCCTCCTCCTCATCCCCCTCCCCCCCCTCCCCCTCCTCCCAGCCTCCTCCGACACTCTCCTCGTAACTCGTGCGCTCTCACCGTCTCAGGCTCCGAGCGAGCGCAAGCGACCTTGCCTGGGTAACCTGCGAGATCTCCTACGCTGCGGTGCGGCACCGAGTACTATTTTAGACCGTACGCGACGTCTCTCTTTTCCGCGCCTTTTTTTTGCGAGTATCATGTCGCACTCGAAGCATGGCTGACGTCATCGTCTCTAGGCCTTTAGGAACCGAGCTCGCTCGACGTGCCGCTGACGATACCGGGCGCGAGAAAGCCGCAGTCCCTGCTGCTACGATTACTACTAGTAGTAGTACTGGCGCTTCTAGTACTCCGGGTACTTCCGTCACGGGCGGCGAAGCTTTGACGAGTCAACGCCCCGCCAAGCTAACCGCGGTAGACCTGTCTGCGGAGCTGCCCGCTGCGGAGAGGCCCGTGGGCGGAAGCGCCAGCGCGGGGACGGGTCCGCGGAAGCCGCATCAGCCGCTTTTCCCGCCGGCCTCCATGCTCCAGCAGCAGCCGCAGCAGGCGCCCGCGGCCGCGGAGCGGGAGCGGGGCGTAGAGGGCGCGGAGGGGCGCGCCCTCCGCGGGGGAGGCGCAGTGGCGGAACCGGAGCAGTCCGCGGAGATGGAGGCAGCGGCGGCTGAGGGGAGGGGGCCCCTGGCAGTGTCGTCAGTGGAAGAGCGGAAGGAGATTGCGCAGGGGGAGGGCAAGAAGCAACGATTTCCTGAAATGGTAAGCCAGTCTCCGAACCGAGAAGGGGGTGGTTGATTGTACGGAGAAACGCAGAAAGCATTGAGCCCTTGTACCCCCCCACCCCCCCCCCCCCTCCCCCCCCCCCCCCCTCCTTCCCCCTCCCTTCCCCCCTTCCCCCCCCCCAATCCCCCCCTTTCCCGCCGTTTCTCCGCTTTACTAATACACGCCCACCCCCCTCTGCTGCAATACGCTCGCAGGTGGCCCGGTTCTTTGGTGCTACAGGGAGGACCAGCTGGCGCAGGAGCACAGGAGACAGGGGCGCTGCCAGGGAACCCGCAGGGGAGGCTGCAGCAGCAGAGGGTGGTGCGCGGGCTGCAAGAGGCAGGGCGTCGGAAGGAGGGGGGGGGAGCGCAGCTGCCATGGGGGCTTCCGCCGCCCCTGGGGTGGGGGAGCAGAGGACAGCTGCGGAAGGTGCGGTGGGTGGGGGGGTGGGTGAGGGGGTGAGAGCGAGGGAGCAGAGGTTGCAGGAGAGGGGCATGGGCGAGGGGCCTGCTGGTGCTCCTGCTGGTGCTACTGGCGTTTCTGGCGCGGGGGCAACAGGCTCTGCTGCAGCCGGTACGGCGGTTGGTCCTGCTCCCACTGGGCTCCCCACCAAGGCGGAAGCAACAGCGGTGGCATCAGCCCTTGAGCAGGCAGTGCGCGCTGGGAAGAGCGAAGAGCAGGCAGCTGCAGATGCTGCCGCTGCAGCGACTGCTGCTGTTGCTGGTGCTACAACTGGGGAAGGTGGTGCTGGGGGGGGTCTTGCTACTGCTTCTGCTACTTCCGGTCCTGCTGCAGCGCGTTCCACTGGGCCTGTTAAAGGTCTTGCTACAGGACCTTCTGCTACAGGCCGTGCTACAGGTGCTGCTGCTGGTTCTTCTGCTGTTCCTGCTACTACTACTGCTACTGCTGCTGCTGCGGCTCCAATAACCCCTGAAGCAGCAGCTGCAGCGTCTGCCATCCATTGGGCAGTGCAAGCTGGGCGGAGTGAAAAGCAGGCAGCTGCTGATGCTGCTGCTGCAGCAGCAAGAGAGCTGGGGCAGGGTCAAGAGGGGGAGGGGGAAGGGAGGGAGATGGAAGAAAGGGAGATGGAAAGGAGGGGGGGTGAGGAGGGGCCATCAGCAGCGGCGGAGGGTGGGAGAGTGAAGCAGCTCGTGAGGAGCTTCGATGGGCCGCCCAGGCTGCTACAGCCGCTACAGCCGCCGCAGGTGCAGACAAGGATGCATTCCCCAGGCCAGCAGCTGCAGCAGCGGCAAATGCAGGAGTCACCTTCAGCAATCAGCAAGCAGGCATCGACTGGAGCAACGGCAGGAACCCCTCTAGCCTCAGGTACAGCAGCGGCTGGAGTTACATCACCAGCACCATCACCCGCACCATCACCCTCAGCTCCAGCAGCGGTGCGAACACCAGCAGCAGCTGCATCACTGGCATCACCCGCAGCAGCAAGAGGGCCAGTATCCCCAGGAACAGCAGCAGCAGCAGCAGCAGCAGCAGCAGCAGCAGCAGCAGGCGGGCCGGTGTCTCCGGTGTCTCCAGGAGGAGGGCATGGGTCAGTGATGGGGCGGCTCAAGTGGCTGGAGTGGCAGGTGGAAACCATGCTCGCTGCGAGAGGTGCTCCTGAGGAGGGTGCCGGGAAGGCCTCTGCTGCAACGCCAGGTGCTTCAGGTGTTTCAGATCTTTCAGGTGTTTCAGGTGTATCTGGCATGCCAGGTGTTTCGGAGGTGGGTGGTGGAGGGAAGAGGAAGAGGGTGGTTGCGCCTGCTTTAATAAATGCTGGAGAGGGGGTGCTGCCGCTGGAGACCCCAAGGAAATCTCTGCTGGAAGAGGGGCGAGGAGGGGAAGCGGTTACAGAGGGAGGGATGGTGAGTGGAGGAGAGGCAGTTGAGGGAGGGGAGGATGGAGGAGTGCTGCCATTAGTGGTGGTGGAGAGGGAGATTGAGCAGCGGGGATCCATCCTGGACCGCATTGCACACCTGGAAACCACACTCAACTCCCTTGCTGCTGCTGGGATCCCTGTTCCTGGCGAGCCCGCTCCTGCTGCTCCTGCTGCTGCTGCTGCTGCTGCTGAGACTCCTGCTTCCACTGCTGCCTATCCATCTCCTGCGCTTAAAGCGCCAGCAGGAGCATGCACACCCCTAGGCGCAAGAGCAGTGGAATATGAGGCAGCACCAGAGGAAGCAGCAGCTCGCCCAGGAAGGCTGGGCTATGCTGCTCCTTCAGCTGGCGAGCCGGGAGCAGGGGGGGGGACAGGGACAGAGGGGGGGGTAGCAGGGAGAGGGGCAGAGGCAGTGGCAGCGCCGCCGGCGATGGCTGAAGCGGAGGAGGAAGAGGAGCGGGTTGGGGGAGGGGAGGACGTGGGGGGATTGCGAGACGAGAGGGAGAGGGCTGCAGTGTCGTTGGGACGAGCAGGGGGTGTGAAGGAGGGTGCTTTGGCAGGTGGGATTGAATCTGTAGGTGCTCCTGGTGCGGGTGGTACTGCTGCTGCTGGTGCGGCTCCTGTGTCCGTTTCTGCTCCTCCCGAAGCCACTGCACGATTGGCAGCAGCAGTACCCTCTGCTGCAATGACTGCTCCCTCTGCTGGGCCGTCCAGGCCCTCTGCTGTGACACCTGAGGCACCACCTGGTGGGGCACTTGAGGCAGCACCTGGTGGGGCACCTGAGGCAGCACCTGGTGGGGCACCTGAGGCAGCACCTGGTGGGGCACTTGAGGCACCACCTGGTGGGGCACTTGAGGCAGCACCTGAAACAGCACCTGAGGCGGGAAGTGGGACAGCACCTGGGGCACCTGGGGAGGCAGCTGAGAAGGCGCTAGCAGCACATGCAGCGGAGGCAGCTTTAGCTAAGGCTCCAGAAGGGGAGAGAGCGGAGGAAACGGCAGAGGTTACTGCTGCTGCTGCTGCTGCGGCTGGCGCCGTGAGAGCAGCACAAGGGGCGGGCGGCGGCGAGGGTGGGGTGAAGCCTGCAACTGAGAAACCTCCGATAAAGGTGATTCTTTCTTTGAAAGGGAGTAGAAGCCCATTGCTGTAACGATCCCACCCTTCCCCCCTGCTTTTGAGATGCCTTGCACTAGTGCGTGACTCTCACAACATTGGCCATCGAGCCCTAGCATTGACAGTTGCTGCGGGTGATGTGTGCCTGACAGGAGGTGACGGCGGAGGAAGGGCAGAAGAATCGTCGCCGCTACCGCCGCAAGAGGAAGACTGAAGGCGGTGGCAAGAGCAAATGCAAGATCATGTGATTGATTAGGCAGATGAGGCAACCCTTATGCATTACCTTGTGGGGGGGTGGTTGATAGGTGGTTCTCTTTGTTAGTTTCTCTGATGACCTAGTGAACTTTTCTGAGACCACCTCTCTTGCTGTTCCTTCAGAAAACACGACTTGATGGAGAGCAATTTTTGGAAATGGTATACACGTGTAAGGCTTTCCTGATTTGTAAAACTGTGTATAAACATACAAACAATAGCTGTATTAGTAACGGATTTCGGAGTACCGCACACAACTAATCCCTGTTCGGTCACAAAAGATGATACGAATCTGTTGTACGCATTTCACTTCGGTTCTCTGCGGCATCCCCCACCTCACATCATTCTCTCGGACACTTGCACATCACAGTAGTTGCACATTGCGTCCTGCTCCACCTGCTCCACCCGCTCCGCCTTGTAAGCAGCGGGGCGACGGCGCACCAGGCCACGTCAGTTCACGTCGGTCATATCGCACATGCTGCGACCATGCTCCGATCGCTGAGATCCGTTCCTTACGCCGCGCGAGCAGCCGCTTGGTCCGTAGATCCCGCATGCTCGCTCGCGTCCTCGTTAAAAGCCGCCGCAGTAATCGGCAGAGGCTACACTTCGGCCGAAGCAGACAGCGAGTACTGGAAGCACGTGTCGAATTCCGTTCCGCGGGGAGCGGGATCCGTGGAGAGCGCAGCGGCGGAGATAATCGAGCGCAACCTCGTGCGCGGACCCTCCGCGGACGAGCGCAACCCCGCCGCGGTGCTGACGGCACGACGGGAGGCGCTCGACCTGTGAGTTGCGGATGGGGGGGGTTGAAGGCGGGGGAGGAGGAGGAGTGGCGGAGTGGAGAGGGACGGCGCAGGGGAGGGTAGAACGAGGGGGGCAGGAAATTTGTCCAGGAAGGGGTGGGGAGGGGGGGGGATTGTGGGGGGATTGCGGGGGGATTGTGGGGGGATTGTGGGGGAAGGGGGGGAGCGTGGTGGCGACCTTGCTAGGAGACGGCGTGATTGGTAGGAAGGAGCTTGGCTGTAAGGGGCTTGGCTGGCTGCTGACGATTAGCAGTGAGGAGCGCCGATTTGGTAGGCAGACAGGCTGCTGACGGACGAATGGTGAGAGAACGAGGGTCACTTGAGAGGGAAGACAGGTTGGGCGCCTGAGACGTTATTAGGCGTCTCAATTGTGCGCTGGGACTTGGGTGCATTAGCGGTCACACTTGGGAGTGCATGTCGTTTGGGTGCGTTAGCAGTCTTGGCACGTGCTTGCAGTCGTGAGTGTGACGTGGCTCACACCTCCCCATCATTGACGCGTCGTTTCGCTCTTCCCCATCGTGCCTTGTTCCCTTTCCTCCCCTGCCCCGCTCTCCTCCTCCCCCGCCCCTGCCCCTCCCTTCCCCTCCTCTGCCCCGCCCTTCACCCGCCCCTGCCCCGCCATGCCTTGCCATGGCCCCCCCCAGCTACCGTCTCATTCTTCGAACCACGCGGGTCTTCGTCTGGCCACACCCCTCTGGAAGCCTCTGGTACCGTTTTCTAATCCCTCTCTCGCTGCATTTCCTCCCTTACCCTCAAGCTCTCTCCCGCCTTTATCGCGTCCATATGCTCATATGAAATTTCCACTACAGAAGAACTGCCAGCACTCATTACATGCACCCGCACGCCCTCCCCTCCCCTCTCCACCGTCTGCATGTCTCCCCAGTCACCCTCGCCTTCTCCCCTTCCCCCACCTTCCCTTTCCCCATGTCTGTCTCCCTCCCCTGCCACCCGCCAGGAGGGATGTGCTGAGGGACAGTGCGAGGAAGGAGTTCGAAGCCGCCAGACTCGTCTCAGACCCCGAAATGGTACCGCCATGTCTTGTCTTCCCCTCTTTTGCTCCCCTTCTCGTGCCTCTCGCTCCTCCTTGTGCCTCCATCTTGCACACTCCCCCCCACACTTCCCTTGCGCCTATCCTCTCTCATTCTCCTCCTCCACTCCGCCCTCCCTCTTCCTCAGCCTTCCCTCTCGTCACTCCCCCTTCCCCCTGCAACCTTTACCTCACCCGTTTCTAGTCGCGCGTGTCTTCCTGACAAACTCATGCTCCTCAACCCTGCGTTCCGTTTCTCAAACCCTGCTCGGATAGCCCAGCTGCTACTGGGAGGGAGGTCGCGTTGCTGTCTCGCTCTGCCACCTTGGTCTCACCTTCTTACAATCGCACGTGTGCCTTTGTGACAAGCTCATCCCCCTCAACCCCTCGTTCCTTTTCTCGCCCCCTGCTCAGATAGCGCGGCTGCTACTGGGAGGTCGGGACGCCGTGTCGCTCGTTGTCGATAAGGTGTGCTTCTAATGCCTCTCTCCATCTCCATCCCTCCCTACCACTTTCCATAGCTCTCTCTCTCTCTCTCTCACTCTCTCTCTCTCTCTCTCTCTCTCTCTCTCTCTCTCTCTCTCTCTCTCTCTCTCTCTCTCTCCCTCTCTCTCTCTCTCTCTCTCTCTCTCTCTCTCTCTCTCTCTCTTTCTTTCTCTCTCACTCTCTCTCTCTCTTTCTTTCTCTCTCTCTCTCTCTCTCTCTCTCTCTCTCTCTCTCTCTCTCTCTCTCTCTCTCTCTCTCTCTCTCTCTCTCTCTCTCTCTCTTGCTCGCTTGTTTGCCCTCCCACTCTCAGCCTTCTCTCCCTTCCCTCCCACCGGCTTCCTGGCTCTTTTCGGTGCCTCGCCCGTTTTGTCTCTCCCCTTGTCCCTGAATGTTCCTTTCTTGGCACGTCGGTGCGTGCATCTGTTTGCATATGTTTGCATCTGTTTGCATCTGTCTGCATGTGTTTGCATGTGTGTGCATGTGTGTGCGTATGTGTGCATGCATGTGCCAAGCAGCTAGTGGCAAAGCAGCAGGAGGTGGTGGAGAAGGAGCGCACACGGCGACCATAGCCCAGCACCACACACACGCACACTCATCCCATGTGACTGTTCACTCCACTCAAAGACCCTCCTCATAGCTACACTCGTCTGCAGCAACCACAGTGGCTTACAAGAATAGAAGCAACGGCAGTCGATATCACATACCGGTACTCTGAGCCTCGTCAACTGCCTCCACTCCCACACCTCACCACACCAACCACTACGCCCATAGTATCCCCGGTTTATGGCAATAATGATGCTTCTCACCTCGCCTCAACCCTCCCTGTCTATCTCGTCGCATGGATCCGATCCACCATTGCACACTCACTGTGATGTGGAGCTTCACTAGGAGCATCCTGTCCATCCCATTCCAATAGGTGGCTGACACCAGCCAGACAATCTTCGTCGTGTACATAGAACTTCGACTGTTATCTGTATTAGGTAATGAGCTAGTTAATTGTCTTCGCATTTGCTTACAGATTTGAATTGGACTGCCTCTACCACCACCAATCAATCCATTCATCCGCTTTCCCCATCCTTCCAGCTTCACAATACGTAGTAAAATGAGGACCAGGGGCAGGGAGGGGGACCTATAGAAAGTGTTGGAAATACCTCAAGGACTTGAGCGTTTCTGAAGTGTAACACCACACTCGAGGAAGGTCGTAACGGGTACGCGAGTCAACGGAGGATACACGAGGGGATGGACAAAGAACACGAAAGGACTCGAAGGGTCGCAACTAGAGGTTGCGACTGACAGTTACAACTGCAAAGATGGTAACCGAAGCGACAATCGAGTCGCTGTGCGACTCGATAACCGCTCTTTCAACTGTATTCTACAACTGCTTTACCTTCCTACTTTCTATATATTGCTGTATGCTTTTTTCTTTAATCAATCACTTGTTCTCATATACTAGTACAAGGGTTCAACTACTCAACTTCCGCTGCACTACTCAAGTCTCATTTTAAAAACTGGACTTAGTCTCTGGAAATATCCTAAGGGCTTTTCTCAGCCCAACATGGTATGAGAGCTGGTCAGAGACCAAACTCCCAGCAACAACGTCTATCTACAGTCAACACCTCAACAAACTTCATTGATTACCAGTCATGGACAACAAATGCAAGAAGACCTCTACGGGCTCACCCAGCGCCCAAGACACCCAACCCGGCAACTCTGGATTACACACTTCAGGACTGCAATCCGAGATCGGTGCTGCTCAAGAAACAACAGGAAGAGCACTTGAAATGGTGACCCCATCAACCTCTTCAAGCGTCGACCCGAACCTTATGGAAAGGTTCTTCAGCTTCATGTCACACTTCGACAAGCAGCTGCAGACAAGGACACCTGCACATTCAACACAAAGCAACGGAGGAAACATGGGATTAGCGCCGATGAGCCTCGATAACTCATCGTTCGGGCGACACAATCAAGCGCCTACCTTTGTGCCTTATCACTCTTCACCGGGGACGTTCGAGTTCATGCCGCCCCGTGCCCAACCAACAGCAGCTGCATCACAACAGACACCAAACGAGATACTTAGTCTCCAGGCGCAGTTTTCACACGTGATCAAACTGCAGACATCCTCATCGTTCAACGGACACGACTTCTTTACCTGGAGCTTTGAGTTCGAGCTGCTGATGGAGGCTGCGCATCTCTTGGGATACTTCAACGGGTCCCTGCCATTTCCAAGCAATGGCACTGCGAAAGAGCAAGAAATTTTTACATATCAGTCGCTGCTGGCGTACACAGTCCTCCTGCGGAACCTGTCACCACAAGAACAACAAAGCATTAGAAAGTATCGGAGCTATAGAAACTCCGCGGAACTCGCATGGCATCACCTCAAGTGTCTCTATCAAGCAAACGACAGAGTGACACAAAGCAGACTCATGCAGCAACTGACAACAATACAGATGAAGACCGGGGAAAAGCCGATGCAGTATATGAGTCGATGCCAGACACTCCGCGACTGCCTGCTTCGGTGCGGAGGAACAATTACTGAAGAAAGCTTCGTGACGCTTGTCCTCGCTGGGCTCGGGCCAGAATGGAGAACCGCCCGCTTGCTTCTTCGCGCCCACGGACGAATCTCGGAGATGCACCTCTGCGCCGAGCTCCATGCTGAACAACAAGAGATGGACCTGTTTGAAGAAAGACAACCAAGGAAGCAGCAACCGTTAGTCTTCTACACTCAACGAAGGAACGATAACAACTACAACCGATGCAGCAAGCAAGATCAACGCGACAACAGAGGACTCGCCATTGTGCCGCTGTTCTGCCACAACTGTCAAACATCTGGACACTCCAGAGTCAATTGCACACGCCCACGAGCTTATCGTCCAGTAGACCCACAAGTCGCCTCCACTCAAGAAAGCCCGCCGAGGCGTCCCTCCATATCTGCACAAGGCACACCAAACATCATCAATTGCATGGTCCACATCGACAACTGCGCAACCGGCTCACCACCCACTTACGCTCCAGACGAGGAAGAACTGCTGCCGCCGCTCTCACAAGGACTTCAGGTTAATCCGACATACGCAGCAGTCGCCAACGCCGAACCCACCGGGCGGAACACCTGGTTCTTGGATAGCTGCTGCGGTCAACACATGTGTTCTTCCGGGCGCTTCGTGCAGCGAGAGCGACGCCTCAACCACGATGTCATCATCACCGTCGCCAACAACGAGAACCTGAAAACAAACAGACAAGGCGTCGTTCAGCTTCAGTCAATGGAGACGAACGTCATACTACAACTCAACAAAGTCCTCATCGTCGACAATTTGGGATACAACTTACTCAGCGTCAGCCAGTTAATGGCAAAAGGAATTCACCTGGAGTGCGACTCGGACTCCAACGAATTTCGCCTTTACCATGGGAAGGGCGGTCTTTTCATAGGTCGCGCTCTCCTGAAGTCAGGCGTCTTCGTGTTGGATTTCGTCCCCGACCGCGGCACCGCCGACAGCGATGGCATCGTGTCGTTCGCCGCCTGGACGCACCCGCCAAACCTTGACCCCGACTTCACCCCAGATGGATTCTGGTACTCTAACACCATACCTACGGCAGAGAGAACACGAGCGTTAGGAGTTATTCGACAAGAAAGACAAGTACCAGCAAGCGTTCCTTCCTCGACATCACCTGAAGTAACAGCAGCAGGACCCAGCCGAGTACCATCACCAGCAATCCGAGGACCACCAACCGAAGCAGATCAACTTATGCCCATCACACGAGAAGTCTGCCGAAGTCCCGCCACGGTCGTCGCATTCTTCTCCAACACCGACATGTACCAACGCTCGCCCGGCCATCGCTCCTCCGACGACATCTGGCACCAACGCCTTGGACATCCTGCAAACAGCACGGTACTACAAACCATCCAAGCCGAAGTATTAGAACGAAACACTCTTCTTACGACAAGCGGCCAAGAACTTCGACGACCTCGCGCACGGTGCTTCACGTGCCCCGAAGCATATCTTCCCCACCAACCTTTTCCATCACATCACAATCCAAGTGCACCTGCATACGCACCGATGGAAAAAGTTTACACCGACATCTTAAACATGCCTCGAGACGACACTCAAGCCGACTTCAACTATGTCATCACGTTCATCGATGCAGCAACAAGATATGTATGGCACTACAACCTCAAGACGCGCGATCAAGCTTTCGAAGCCTTCACGACGTGGCTCCCCATCGCTGAACGAGAATCAGGAACGAAGCTCAAGAGCTTCCAGTCAGACGGCGCACTCGAATACTAGTCACAACGCTTCAGGAACTACTTGGCGGAAAGAGGAATCAGACGACTGGTGTCTCTGCCCTACGCTCACCAGCAGCAGGGGGTCGCAGAAAGAATGAACCGGACCTTGCAGACGACGATGCGGAAGCTGCTCCTAGGGATGAGACTGCCCAATGCACTGTGGCCAGACGCGATGACCCATGCATTCCACCTGCACAATTTGTTATCCTCGTCCTCGCTTCCCAACAACGCATCACCGCACCTGCTGTGGACACAAAAAAGGGGCAGCACAAAATTACTTCGGGTTTTCGGCTGCATGGTACAGTACAGACCTCACACAGCTCGAGCAAGACGTTTCACCCAACGAGCAAGGTGGGGACTACACCTCGGCATCGCCAAACATTTCCAAGCCTGGAAACTCCTCAACATACAAGACAAAAATACCGTGGCATCACGTGATGTGATCTTCTACGAACGACTGACACTGCAGCATTACCTGGACAACGTCGCCAACACAGACGACCCCACCGACGGTTTCGCGTGCCATCGCTCCTTCGCCGACCGTGCTGCCGAGGCTGACGCAGCAGAAGAAGACATACCTGGAGCTTCGGAAGCTGCCGGACCACTCCCTTACTGTTCCGTGCTTGTTCCACTCGACGAAGACAATCCCCTCGATAGCAACAACCTCGACACCCTTTATCACTTCGCTGACCAAGGTTACGTTACACCTCACCCGGTCGACACAAATGTCTCAGAACGCATTGGCCCGAACTTTTTACCTAATTCAGAAGATGGTGACGAAGCAGCCTATTCCAGGAATGAAAATTCCCCTCGACACACACCCACGGGACTGCAGATACTCGGCTTAGGGGTCTCCGTCCAGCATCCGCCGCCGCCATCTCCGCGCGAGCCAACGACTCTGTCGCAGGCTCTGGGGGGGGAACACAAGGCGAAATGGAAGGAGGCAATGGAAAAGGAACTGAAAGCTCTGCAAGACCGAAATACATGGAAGCTGGTACCTGCAACGAACATCAATGGGAAGAACGTTCTCTCGGGAAAATGGGTATACCGTATCAAGACCAATGCGGACGGCTCCATCGAACGATTCAAAGCTCCATCGTACGAGGATTCGATCAACGATACGGAACTGACTTCACATAAACATTCGCCCCAGTCTCCCGTCACACCTCCTTACGCATTCTACTCGCCGTCGCGGCCACGAAGAAACTACCACTGCGCCAGATCGACGTCGCAAATGCCTTCCTGTACGCACCTGTAGACGCCGAGATCTTCGTCGAGCAGCCCCACGGATTCATCGACGACCCCACAAAAGTGTGCCAGCTGATAAAATCCCTTTACGGGATCAAGTAAGCCCCGCGGCTTTGGCAGCAGCATCTTCACGGTCGCCTCGTCAGAATCGGATTCCTACAGCTGCCGCACGACCAAGGCATGTACCGACTACAGAAAGAAAGGGAATTTATCCTACTCATCGTCTAAGTCGACGACCTGCTCTACATCGGCTCCACTACCGACATCGCCACCTGGTTCGAAGGGGAGCTGAGAAGTGACTTGACACTCACAGTGTCTGACACCGTGACCCAGTACTTGGGTCTAAACGTCGTCGAAGACAACTCGGCGTTCTACCTACACGCTGGAAAGTACGCAGGCGTTGTCGCAAAGAAATTCGAACTAACACCGACTACAGTCACGACCCCCTACCGCTACGGGAACAACAACAACACCTCCACAAAACTCCCCGCGAAGCGAATCCAGGAGTATCA